TAAATTAATAATATTTATTCATTAATAAATTAAAATTAATCAATAAATTAATATTTTTAAACACTATTTATTAAAAATAAAAATTAATAACTTTAACACTTCTTATAATAATAATAATCACATCCTATCCCCTAATAATTTTAAGAAAAAAATTTTAATTTTTATTACTCTACTTATTTGAAATAATAAATAATACTTTCTGAGTTTTTGACTTTTGCAAAAACAAGATAATGACCTAAAGAAAACACAAAAAGTAGTGCACAGAAAGAGTCTAAAATACGCAGGTAGAAAGTGTGTTATCAGATATCCAAAAAGGAGGTTTAGATAGATCACAAAGATTTTTACAACTGCTCAACAAATATGCATACATAATCTCATTCCATGGATTAAGTAGTCCCAGTAAGAACCAATGAAAACACAATTAGCAAAATCTTTAGGGTCAAATCTCTGTTTCCTCTCAAGAGTTTTTCCCTTTTGTTCACCACAAGGCATAAACAGATATGAACATGTTTTTGATATTTTTACAATTGTGTATTTGTTCAAAACAGTAATGTTTGATCTTTAGTTCTTGTAAGATGTTGCGAACTGTCACCATGATGGGAAGACGAGATCCAATTCACTAGCATGAGCTTCCATCTTTCCCCTTTGATGCATGCTGCAGTAGCAGTTATGTCATTCCAGAAAAAGCACAGAACCAATCCTGCATGAGGAAAAAAAATACATTTACCAATCATAACATATATCAATAGAGGCATTGATCGATGACGATAAATAACATCATGTATACAATGGCATGAATTCAGTCAATAAATATAATCTACCAAAATGCAAGGCTAAAATAACCACAATGAAAAGTAAAAATGCAAAAAGCTTGCATACCTAAGAATGATGGAAGGGCAATAAACATCAACTTTTGTCAATAAATCAGCATATCATTTGTAATATCATTATGAACAACTGGGGCAAATGGTGGCCAATCTGTAGAACAAAAAATCACAAGGCAAGTTCTAGATTGTCATGGCATGAATGAAAGGCTAATTGACCATAAAAGGAAATAGAAACAGGCCACTACGTGGATATTATGAGTAATCAACAAACTATAGCATAAACTGCAAGTTACCTCTTGCTAAATCCTCTTCTTTCCTACTTCACTTCCTGTGTTGTATATCCCAAAAGAGATAGATGGGTGAAGCTTGTAAAAGTTTGCATGTTTCACAAGTTCAATCTCCTTGATATACCTCCTGTTGCTGGTTAAGTTCAACTGCCATGGCCAATCTCCCTCCCTTTCCTCTTCAATCCAATTCCTAAGATAATTTGAACAGTGTAAATCAGAAAACCATAATCATTGCTCACTTTCATAAAACAAGTAAGAAGTGGCATGCAGGGAGACAGAATCAACTCCTTCCTAGATCCTGTTGTGTTTGGCTATGGCAGCGAGGTTCACAAAAAGTAGAAGAAATTGGATGGAATAGAAAGCATTAGATTGAAAACTGGAAACTTACATGGCATTGATCTGAGGCTTGTTACACTTGTGCATCCATTAGATATAGCTCTCAAACACTAACACATCAACTCCTTCCTAGCTCCTGCCATGTTTGGTTATAGCAGCAAGGTTCACTAGCCATCTCAGGACAGTATGATATGTTTCAAGGTATGAATCAGACTCCACCATGAAGGGAGCCTAGTAGGACTCAATTGATGCATTGTACTCCTGAAACACATTTGGATTTGGATTTGGATTTGGGGATGGGGTTTAGAAGTTTAGATTGGGGCTAATCCACCATATGAAGTAAAGGAAATAACTACTAACTGAACAGATGAAAATTGTTAATGATGAGATTGAGACCATATGCCATTTTTAAGGAAAATCTAACCTGAGTTTAAGTCCTGTAAGAAGCCTTATATGGTAACTTGGAAGACTGCTCATCAACCGGGAAGACAAGGTATAGACTATTTCCAACCCACTGCCATGTTTTCCAAACAAGCTCCGTGAGTGACCTAAACAAATAATAAATCATTAATATGTGTCTCCACACATGTGATTTGTGAATGTGAACTTTCACTACATTCTTAGAGAGGAAAGGTATTCACCTCTTTGCAACATTTCATGACACCAAAAAGAAGCAACTCAGCCACTTGTAGGAAGCCAGAAAGTGATGCTAATTTTTATCAGAAACATCCCCTTGTACAAAACTTTAAGCTTAATAACCTGAAGTAAACAAGAACCATCATTAACCAAGATATGTACTGTTACCAAAAAAATAAAATCAAAATATCTGACAACAGCATATAATTTTCCCAGCCCACTGCCATGTTTTTCAAACAAACTCTTCATGTAACCTAAACAGATTGCAATCATGAGTATGTTTCTCCATGCTTGTGACTTGTGAATGTGAACTTTAACTACATTCTTGGAAAGGAAAAATTCACCTCTTGCACAATTCATGATCATGACACCAAAAAGTTTTGTAGGAAGCTTGAAAATGATACCAATTTTATCAGAAACTCTTGTACAAAACTTTTAGATTATGAACAGAAGAAAGCATACCCAGAAACCTAAAAACTTCCTCTCCTTGAGGCCTTACCAGAGCTAGCATACCTGGCAATTAAAGGGGGCTCATTTTCAGTCAAGCTTACCCCAAAACCAAATTATAAAAAGAACAAAATATAAAACAGAAAAAATTCAATAAAACCCTTACGAATACATAGAAATTAAGAAGCATAAGAAAATGAAGAGAGTGGAATGGAATAATCAAGTCAAAATACCTAGTGTTTCGATGTTTCACACTTTCTTTGAGGTCTGATTCTTCAGTTTAGCACGTAATTTTCCAGCCAATCTTTTCGTTATTGAGTAAGGGCTTTTACCGGAACATGTTGTCGGTGGCTTGTGATTTATTGGGAAAGTTGATGATTTCTCTGGAACTACAGAAATTGTTTCCTTCAGCAACTAAAATAACACAGGATTGCAAATGATAGAAAAATTATAAATAAAAAAGGCTGTCCAGATAGTGTTAAATAAAAAATATATCAAAAAATAAAATAAAAAAAAACGAAATACTATTAATGTTCCTCTAACCACAGATAATAAATAATCTTATGACCCACAATTTTATCTTATTAAATGAGAAAAGTGAAATATGAATCCAAACACAAAAACTAAATAGAGTTACAATAAGTCAAAATAGAGATAGTGAAATCTAAACACTTACTGGTTAGAGCTTGCGAGGGAGCAGAGGCTGGGGATATCTTTGTCTTCTAGAATATACCCACTTAGGGTTTCCATCTCAGACACATCCATCTCTTTCTCTTCTAGAATACCCAATTGTTTTCGTTGGGGGAGGAATGAAGGAACTGTGGAAATGCTTTTATTGGCACGTGTTATTGAGGTGGCACGTGGCTTTACATTTGTAGTTTGCAGCTCTTCGCTTCAATCTACACAAATTATTTCCCAAATTTTCAACAACATACTGTAATATATTACCAAAGCAAATTCAAATTAGAATTAAATAGTAGTAAATTAATCAACACCTTACCCTCAATCCCATGATTATGTACACTATTTCAAGAAGGGTTGAAGGACGTTCTTAGCGTTAGGATGATCCCACTCCACTGATTCCCACCATTCTTTTGATCTTGCACCTATCTCGATTTCTTTGAGATGAGGAGGAGGAGATGGTTGGCCGTTATCAAGTTGGGGAAGTTGCACAGGGATCCTCTTTAACTTCAGACATCCACGTATTTCAATTTTTTCAATAGAATTACAAACCATAACTCCTTTGGCACTGCAGATGCTCTTCAATTGGAATAAGTCCCACAAGCACAATTTCCTTAACTTAGGAAAAGTGAAAGTGAATTTATCTGATGATGATGCATCCGAATTTAATGATGCTATTATCTCCTGCATTTGATGGCAAGAAAAAATTGTAATCACCTCTAAGTTTTGGAGGGTCTGCAGTAGCTCAAGTGGAAGCAACTTCCTTATTCCCGAACATCGCCCTACCAAAAGCTCTTTAAGATTGGAAAAGACGTGCGGTGGTGTTGCTTCTCCTTCCACTCTCACAAGTTCACACAACCTAGGCAATCCAACAAGCCGCAGCTGTTCAAGCTTATCAAATACTGGACAACGCAATGAGGAGGAGGAGGAGGATGATGAGTCCAACTCAACCACGCACTTTATCTCTTTACAAAAGCTAATATCGCCTATCCTCAACTCAATTGCTTTTTCTAACAGAGCTATTTTGCTTAAGCTGCTTCCCATGTTTTTAATTTTAAGCCTATTTATCCACAAATCTTCAAGCTTTTCTGGAAGCACTATGCCTTCTTCCCTGATCTTGGAATCAGTAAATGCAAGCTTAGGTTTAATCCTTCTAAGTATGTCGGTTGCATTCCCAACTAGAAGACTACAAGCAATAGCCCTTTGGAAATCTTTGAACTTGTTGACAACATAATTGAGGTCTTGTATGTCATCAAAGTTACATTCTAAAGTCTCCAACTTCTTCAGTCTAGCAACCTCTTCAAAATTTCTCACTATTGTAGTTTCTCGCCAAAAACAAATAGCCAAATACTGGAGACTGGAAAGGTTAAGTAATATTCCTGTTTGAATCTCTTTCAGATTTGGACAAAATAACAAATCAAGATATTCAAGACTTATCAACATCTCCATGCCTTGTGGGAGCACCTCAATCCCTGCCCTGTGCAGGTCCAACTTCTTCAATCCCTTGAGGTTTGCCAAGGAAGGCAAGTACTTTAACTTCTTGCAAAGTTGTAACCGTAGGGTAGATAGATTCTTCAATTCAGAGATGGAATTAGGTATTGTCTCAATAGCAGTGCCAGAGAGATCAAGAACCTTCAAACTAAGCATCTCCCCAAAAAAAGATTTTGGAATCTCTGACAAATTAGGATTACTTGATAATATCAAAGTCGAAAGAGTCGAACATTTTGGGGATAAACTAAGAGGAACTTTTAAAATGTTATTTTCCATTATAGACAACTTCTTAGGATCTTTTACCCAACCATGCTCATCTGGTAGCTCTACCAAATTCATACCAGCTTTTATCATATATCCAAATTCAGGACCAATGCTTATGATAGCCATATCTCTCACTACATCATGCATCTTAGCCCCAGGTATATCTTCAAGATATCCAGCTAATTCAACTAACCTATCATCTTTCTCTAATAAGAAATTTTTTTGAAGCCTATCTATAATAGCATGGCCCCTCTTATAAGCTGCTTCTCTACTTGGCGACCCACCAATTAGTCCTTCATCAATCCAACATTCTATCAACTCCCTTCTAGAAAACGCATAATCCTCTGGAAAGAATGAGCAATAAAGAAAACAATTCTTGACTTCCAAACTATCCAACCGATCAAAACTAAACCTTAGTCGCTTAAATATCTCATCATTTGAATCTCTCACACTCCTTACACGATCTCGTAATTCAATCAATGCATTTTCCCACACATTAACATCATCAACTCCCTTCATGCTCCCA